GTGAAATTTGGTTGTCTTGGAACTCACTATGTAGCCCAGGCTAGCCTCAGACTCAGAGATCTGCCTGCCTTTGTCTCCTGAGTGTTGGGATTAAAGATGTGCGCCACCATGCTAGGTTGATAGGTTTATTTATTTTATGAGTGTTTTATCTGCATGTATGTATGTATAGCGTGTGCTATTACTCTCGGAGGTCTCAGAGGTCAGAAAAGGGCATCGAATACCCTAGAACTGGAATTATTGATGGTTATGAACACTGTGTGGGTGCTGGGAACTTCCTCAGGAGCAGCTGGTGCTCCTAACCATCTCTCCAGCCCTTCTCCACTTTGTTTTTGAAACAAGGTCTCTCATTGAACGAGCTCTCTGATTGGGGTTGACTAGGACATCAGGACAGCACAGTGGCCCTCAGAGTGGCACACAAGCTCACAGAGCTCAAATCTTTGAATTTAGGACACAGGGTCATGGGAAAGGAAAAGTTTTGCCTTGTTTTCTGTTATAAACTGTATCCACTTATCTATGCCTCTGTTACAAAACTGGGCTGGTGTGGAACAATTCTGTATCTGCCAATTATGTTCTAAATAAACGCTGCCAGTAGCCAGGCGCGACAACCAGACAGGAAGTAGAGGCAGGGTGATGAGAACAGGAATATTCTGGGAAGAAGGAAGCTCTTTCTCAAGTCCTGCTCAGACCACTCAAGAAGTAGACCTGCCTCGCTGAAAAAGGTACTGAGCCATGTGGCTAACACAGATAATAATGGGTTGATATAACTTATAAGAGTTAGCAAGAAGTCAGAGCTAATGGGCCAATAAGTTTATATCTAATGTAGACTTTTGTGTGATTCTTTGGGGCTAAACAGCTGTGGGAACCGGGCAGCAAAGAAACCACAACAAGCAGCCCCTAATGTTACGCTGGGCTTGTTTAGGAAATAAAGTACAGCTTTGTTCATTTTATTCAGGCATATAATCTTTTTATTATGGATTTTTTGGAATGACAAGTTGATATAGATATCAGGTCTACAAGAGCTAGTTCCCCAGGGCAGGCAACAAAGTAACACAGAGAAACCCTGTCTCGAAAAAACAAACAAACAAACAAACAAACAAAACAAAAAGAAGTCAATTAAGTTGGGTGGTGGTACACACCTTTAATCCTAGCATTTGGGAGGCAAAGGCAGGTAGGTAGGTCTCTGTGAATCTGAGGCCAGCTTGGTCTACAAAACGATTTCCTGGACAGTCAGAACTGTTACATAGAGAAATCCTGCCTCAAAAAAAAAAAATTGAAAATAGTAAAGGTCTAGATAAATTTAAACAAAATGGTTACAGTGGTTAGCAAGCGGTTGGTCTGGAGACAAAAACAAAAGCTTTTCAGGACTGGGTGACAGTACAACTCTTAATCTCAGGAGGATGGCCAGGCAGTGGTGGCGCACACCTTTAATACAAGCACTTGGGAGGCAGAGGCAGGAGGATTTCTGAGTTCAAGACCAGCCTGGTCTACAGGAGATAGTTCCAGGACAGGCTCCAAAGCTACAAAGAAGCCGTCTCAGAAAAACCAAAACCAAACCCAAAAATCTAAGGAGGCTGAAGTCAGAGAATCTTATATTTGGATGCTAGTCTGAGTTCCATAGCAAGTTTCAGCCAGGCTGTTCTAGATATTAAAACTCGGTCTCAAACAAACAAAACTATTTACTGCTGTTTTGAGTTTTGAAAAAAATGAGAAGCATTATATTTACATGTTTTTACATTTTTGACATCTTGAATAGGGGAACCGAAATTACTTTAAAAATGACATTCCTGAATTACAAACTGAAAGTGTCTACTATTCTAAAGTAGGAAATCAGGAAGGATAGATTGAAGTTGTTACTTCCTTTGAAATGGGTGTGGGCGGTCCCCTTTTTACATTTCAGAGAGCTCGAGCCCCGGCTTAAATGGCTCGAATTTCAATGATCTGTGAATTGGAAAAGCACTGTTTCACAAGCAGGTAGGCTATAAAAGGTATACGCATTATATATATTAAATAGCTATTTTATGCTTTACGGATAATTTGTTTTTACTCACACTAGAGGAAAGGGCTTTGGTGCAAACGAAACGTTTTTTGGCTGTGAAATTCGGGAATCACTCATACGTTTTCATCCGAAAAAACAATAATCCTTTCCTATCACCTCCCTCCCCACCCCCGGCGCGGGAGGAAGAATAAACTTATAATACTGGCAGTATAATGGCCATCCCATAACTATGCAATGAAAGTTTCATGTATATTTAGTATTTGACCGTTGGATAGAAAAGCACTCAGATTAAAACGGCAAAAACGAAGCACTTCGGTCCAGGGCAGTCTCAACTATCTAATTCCTTTCTCAACCACACCTATCCGGCCACTGCGGGTCTCAGAGGTTGACTTCCAGGACCTGGCGACGGGTCGCCGCTCTCAGGTCCCGGAAGACCACTGCTGGAGCCTGCTCCGTGGCCGTCGCGCCGGTCTCCTGCCGTGCCGCCAGCAGAGTCCCCCGCCCGCAGAAATTCCTCCCGGCTTCAAAAGTCTCCAGGGGGCACCGAAGCTCGTGTCGCCAACAACAGTAAGCGTTCAGGCCCGGGCACCCAAGTGCGCCCGACTCCGGGAAGCCGGAAGGCCCGCGGGCTCGAGGGAGGGAGAGCCGCAAAGCGGGAAGCACAAGGCGCGCGTCCCCGAGGACGCGGGCGCGACGGAAGGAAGCGGGGGCGCGCACGCGCGCCGAGTCACGGGCGGGCGGGCGGGGGCGGAGCAGGCGGGGCGGGGGCGGGGCGAAGAGGCGAAGGCGGGAAGAGGGCGCCCTGGAGTCCAGCCGAGTCCGGGGAGGGCGTCGACGCCGAGGGGGCGGGGCCAGGCGAGGCGGGGACGCGCTCGCGGGCTGGGAAGGCGGGGGCGCGGCGCTGGCGAGAGCGTGCCCGGTCCCCGCCCCTGTTTCCCACTCTTCCTTCCACCTCCGACCGGCCGGAGCTGCGGAGCGGCTCCGCTCGCCGGTCCCCGGAGCCGCCGCTTGCTTTTTTCCCCCCACCCCCGCCCGCGGCGAGCCCGTCAATCCCCTCACGACGCGCTCCTCCATCTGGGCCATGGATGGGTAAGTGCCGGGTGGCCGCTCGGGGGCTGCGCTGGCCTCGTTTCCTTTTCGGCGTCGCGTCCCGCCGAGGCCGGGGAGCAGGGCGCGGCGCCGGTTAGCGGAGGAGCTGCCCGGGGCCGAGTCCGACGGCAGGGACCCGGGGGGCGCTGGGGTCCGTCCGCCGCAGTCTCCGCTTCCTGCGCGCGACGCCCCCGTCACGTCCGCCCCTCGCAGTCTCGGGGCGCTCTGGGGAAGCGGAGACGAGCCGGAGCCGGGGTGCCGGGCCAGCCTCCCCACACTTCCTCTCAGAAAATGGTGCGCGGCGCTGGCGGGGGCGGAGGCTGAGGCGGCCACGGCGCTCGGGGAGTTGCTGTTTACCGGCGGGGTGGGGCGCGCGGCGGAGCTTTCCCCGGCGGCGGGCCCGGGCGAGCGGCGACAGCCGTCTGGGCGGCGACCGGGTCTCGAACCGCGGTCGTGTGTGGGTCTCGGGACCCAGCGAGGTCTCCTGACTTGCGCTGGGAGATACGTTAACCATTTCTAAATACCGAGCGTCTGCACTTTGTCACCGGGGACGCTTCCTCCTTGCCCGCGCCCCCACCCCACCCCCAAACTTCGTGAATTCGCCGCGGGCGATATCAGATATTGTGTAAGTGCAGTTTTCCGGACTCTTTGAACTGCTCCGTTTAAATGGGGTCCGTGACTAAAATTAGAGGAAAACAGGACTTACAATCACCCTTTCTGAGTTGATAATTTCTCCTGGAACTCAGAGACATGGGCAGCAGGACCTGATGCATTTTAATAAAAGTGTTAATTGAAAGATTTTAGCAAGTTGGGGTTCCGATATAGTGTTGTTCATCAATATAAATTCTCCAAGTCTATTAGATATTCCGCCTCCTTTTATTTATTTAGTTCCTAGGCGTTTGAGTTGTTCCTTAACCTCTTCCCCCTGCCGACTTTTGACAAGATTTCTGTAAACTGCTGGATGGTGGAGCATATTACCTGTTTTTCAGTTAAAAAAAAAAAAAGCACGTAACTTACTTTTCGGTGAAAGCCATTTAACAGGTTGCCGCGTATTTGATTATTGCTTGCTACGTACTTCAGAGAAGACACTAGAATCTTCCAACAGTTTTTTGCCCTGCTTAGGTTTCGTTTATCTCAGTTTCACAATATCGTGATGTGCACTATGTCATTTGAATGCAGATTGCATGCTGCTGCAGATATCAAAGTGCAATTTTAGATTTGATTTATGGTTGTGATGTTCTTGAAAGGATTCCCGTTTAATGGAGGTTACTTCGTGAAAGCCTCTTCCTCCTTGAGCATCGGCGTCTCTTTACCTGACCAATTCATTTGAAACCGTGAAATCGTTTCGGTGATTTATGCCATATCGCCCTAATGTCAGTCAGGAAGGGCTGGGAAATTATCGTCTTCAGAAGGTTCGACTTCGGGTTTGGGGAAACAAGTTAGCTTTTTGTGCCGTGAGATTTACAGTTAAAAGGCTTGACTCTGCTTCTTTCTAGAGTGTGAAATGCAAACCCCTCCTCCACTGCCCGCTCAGGGGTGGGGGTGGCGGTGTAGGAATAGTCAACCTTACTCAGCACCGTGCTTATCTGATGCAGAACTTTAATTGCGTAGACTTTTAGTCGTCATCTGCTACTAACTACGTCTTGTTAAAAATCACCTCTTTATTCGGCACACAAAGTAATAGGTTTCATTACGATATTTCATACATATATCTATCATGGCACTTTGCTGTCTTTGCTCCCCGCTCACCTTCCCAAACTTACTCCTGCTAATAGTTTTTAAGAACCTCGACATGCGTGTGGTATTAAAGCTAAGAAAGCACTGATGCGGATAGACGAGGAAAAACGTTTGCTTTTTTAGAAAGTTTAACTTACCAGTTACTAGGTTTAAATTTTAGAAAAATAATACAAGTTTCAGAACTGTACAAGGGAAAATATATGGTTATCGTTTAAAGCATTGAGGTTTATACCATTTGATGCAGAGATAGTTGCATATCTTTAGGAAATTATGACATTATTGATTAGTAACATAATACAGAACTTATTTAGCAGTTATGAACTGCTAACTGAAGTTTTGTATAGAATAATAACTATTGGGCTTTTTACACTCTTAAGGTGTGTAAAATTTCTGACTACATGGATTGTGCTCTAGGCAAGCCAACATTTTCTCCTTGAGTGCTTTCTTTCTGTGTGTATGTGTGTGTGTGTGTGTGTGTGTGTCTTCATTTCCACCTAGGAGGAATAATATCTTTGTACTCAAAACATAGTATTAATGTTTAACTTTTTTTTTTTAAAGCAAATCTTGCAATAAAATTTGTGTGAAATGTGATATTTGTATTTAGTCTAGCTATGGGAGACAGTCATAAGAATATTTTGGTAAGTTTTTGGGGTGGTAAGAAGCAGGTTTCCAAGATGGTTTTCATGTTTCTAAACTCCAGGCCCAGGCTTTGTTTATTTAAAGCTTTATGGTTTGGTCACTCATCTCAGGGACTTTAAACAAATGAACTTTGGTGGTTTTAGTCTTGGTTTGGATTTGTCAAAGTGAGATGAAGAAAGACAAGCTTATTGTATTGATGCACAACTGTACGTTCCTGCACATTAGAGAGTAATTTTTTTTCTTGCACTGAGGTGTCGAGGCTTTGCGTTGGAACTCTGCTGTTGCTACGCTGTCCATTGTTTTTCCCTTATTAACATTTCACAGTTCGTTTTTTTCGTTATTTATTATTATGATGCTTTTCCTTTTTCTTTAATCTTACCTGTCTTTTAAAACTTGTTCTCTAACTTTGTTTTCCATTTTCTCTTTACTTTTTCCATACAGTGTTGTTACAGATCTTATAACAGTCGGTTTAAAGGTAGGACTCTTTTACTATCCTTTCATAATCATTTTTGTATTTTAATTTTGACATCTCCCCAAGTGGTGAAATAATTTCACCTGTTCACAAAATTGTCTTTTGTTCTGTGTGATGATAATCTTTACTTTTAACTCCAAAATTAAGTAGACCCGTGGCTAATTTTGGATTTTATGTGCCTTTCAGGAGGAACTATAGTAAAATTAAAAAAAAAAAACCATGTAAAGTTTAACTTAACTGTCAGGATTGTATTTTTTTGTTTGGCTTTGTGGTTAAAATTATCCCAGACTCTGATTTATTTTTCTAATGAGTTTTTTTTTAAATCTTTTGTAGTTGTACTTAGAAATAATAAAATAACAATGCCTTTTTTGTGTGTGCCAACTGTGTGCCATGTGCTTTACATGTATTCTGAGGAATCATAACATTCCTTAAAGATAGGTCATTACTGTTCTGATTTTAGGGATGAAAAAGCAAGTTGAGGAAGTTTGTTCAAGATGTGATGTTCTGGTATTCAAATGCTTGTCTTCCCTTTCTGAAGATCTTTTTCATTATACCTCATTGCTAGCAATGAGGCCTCTATCTAAAAGGTGGCCATCTAGGGAACTCAATATTTTGTAGTAATGCTTTTTCTTTTCAAATATTTATTTATTTATTTATTTAATTTATTATGTATACAATATTCTGTCTTTATGTCTGCAGGCCAGAAGAGGGCACCAAACCCCATTACAGATGGTTGTGAGACACCATGTGGTTGCTGGGAATTGAACTCAGAACCTTTGGAAGAGCAGGCAATGCTCTTAACCACTGAGCCATCTCTCCAGCCCCCAGTAATGCTTTTTCTAAGTTACAAGTCTTTAGTTATACCAGAGTCCTCTCATTACGGTATTAAAAAAAAAATACAAGTCAAGTAAACAGTGCTCCTCAGTATGTGACATTTACAATATAATTGTCTGGGAGCCGCAGAGATGGCTCAGCTGTTCAGAGTACTCACTGCTCTTGCAGATGACCCAGGTTCTGTTGACAGCACCTGTACAGTGACTCAGCTGCCTAACTCCAGGTGTACGTGCATACCCAGGTGCATACACATACATGAAAATTTTAGAATAAATAAAATAATAAAAGATAACAGTCATAAAGTTTTCTTTATTACTTTGGTATTTGATACTGATTTGGGAAATCTAGTTCTGTAGGCCACACAGTGCAGATTACTGTAGAAAGTAGAATGAAGTACTTAACCTTGCATACATCTTAAATAAGCCAGGTTCATTTATATAGTTGTTTGGTCACTTTCGAGTCTATTTTGTTAAAGCACAAATCCCGCCACTGTCGCCCTGTTTCTGTACACTTTGCTAGCCAGTTCCATGTTTCTGTTTCTTTATACTTACTAGATCTGATGGTGGCACCTACAGTCGTTACTTCTTAAATAAGCAAGGCAAGAAGCAGCAGCATTTAGCATGGGATGTCTGAGCTGAGCATATTGGAAACTGTTGTACTGTCTTTTGGGGTTGGGCAGAGTTGATCTGCTTTGGCAAGCTTTGTGTATATGTTAATAGGAAATAAATGGAGGGAGCCTTTTCTGGAACTACCCTCTCCCTCCATACATATATTGTCTTATTTGAGGGTGATACTCAGATTCGAAATTAAGTCCTTAACTGTGTGTGAAGGTGCCTGTGGGAGAAGAGACATTTAAATAAATTGTTTTGGTCTTTATTGTTTTGTTTTGTTTTTGTTTTTCGAGACAAGGTTTTTCTGCGGCTTTGGAGCCTGTCCTGGAACTAGCTCTGTAGATCAGGCTGGCCTCGAACTCACAGAGATCCGCCTGCCTCTGCCTCCCGAGTGCTGGGATTAAAGGCGTGCGCCACCACCGCCCGGCATGGAACTGCTTGTTTTGGTCTTTAAAGATGTGATTTATGATTCTATTTTTTTTATCTGGCATATAAGTACAGCAGACATTTTAAAAAGTTACCACTTAAATGTTAAAGAATTATGCTCGAAGAACCCATGTTTTTATTATGGGGAAAACACATCCATAATAAAGGAAAGAAAATTTAAATGTTATGCCTAGGAGCCAGATGTGACTATAGGGTATGGTTTTCTGTCTATGCTTTGAAAGCAACAACTCTAAAGAGATAATAAGCTGATTAGTTGATTCAACAGGCAGCCTGAATATGTGTGTGTGTTTTAAATATTCAATATTTATTTGTTAAAATATTGTGATCATGCTATAGAATCATTCAATATATGTACCTATAGTGGCATTTCATTTGTATTTTAATAAATAAAACTTGCCTGAAGATCAGAAAAGTAAAACAGCTAACCACTGACTCTTACCTTGACCTTCTTTTGTTTTTAGAGATGGTTTCTCTGTGTAGCCTTGGCTGTCCTGGAACTGCCTTTGTAGACCAGGCTGGCTTTAAACTCATAGAGATCCACCACCCAGTTGTTATTTGTACTTTTTGGCAGAATTGTTCTTCCTTTGATCTCACCAGAGAAGTTTAGTTTTTTACCAAATAAGTTTTTTTTACCAATTAAGGCTTGCATTTCATGTAGCGTATATGAAAGATAAGCCAACATTTGCTTCCTCTGTTTGCTGTCTGAATATAACACAATTAACGACTTTAGTTAGTAGTAAGGATGAAATTCAGGTTATATTTAAGTTTACTTTTCTGGATTAAAAAATATTTAAAATTATTTTAAAATTTATTGCATGTATGTGTTTTTCCTGTGCATGTTATGTATATGTTGCATGTATGTCTGGTGTCCATGGAGGTCAGAGAGGGCAGTCTGGAACTGAAGTCAGAGTGATTGTGAGCTACTGGAGTCTGAACCTGAGTGCTCTCTCCAGCCCCCGGAAGTTATTTAGATTTTGGAAAAGACAATTAAAAATATTGTTAAACATAAAATTATTTTAGCACAGGGAAACTAGTTGGGTTTAGGATGCATCACAAAGGAAAACATTGCTGATGTTTCTTTACTATTGTACTTCCCAGTCTGATGTATTATAATCTCAAAAGATGGCTGATGCATGAATAATGTCGAATACACTTAAGTGGAAGACATGTTTACATTTTCAGATGTTTAGAATTCATATCATGGTATGTATGTACTTGGATGTTTTTGCGGAGTATTAATTTTTGTACCTTGGCCAGACTAAAAGATTACCTTTTTGAACTCAATCATGAAACATTTTTGGTTTTGGATTGTTGAGACAGAATCTTGCTTGGTTAACCAAGCTGGACTTGAACCTTCTTCAGTTTCCCAATGGCTGGAGTCACAGGAATGCCCTACCATGGCTGGCTATCTGTGTATGTGTATATATCTATATAAAACACACACACATAATTGAGAAGCGATAAGCAATGAGTTCTTATAAAGACACAATCTGGTGATATGACACACATTTCAAGGATTTTATTATACCACATAAATCAGTGTCAGCATTGTTGGTAATTGCTTTTTCTGCGTGTCAAAGTACATTTTAAATTTCTAGCTTGTGCTTCATTAGTACTAGCTGGCTATTATTCAGAATCTTAAACCACATTTCCTGTATTCCTTGTTATTTTTTCTTCCATATTAAGTGTCATAGTCCTTTTTAGGTGATCATCCTATCTTTAGTGGGTCATTGAGAATAGAAAAACACATGCTTAAGAAGGACTGTAAATGGCTTCCAATAGTTACCAAGCTTCCTATGTAGAAAAGAACAATATAGCAGATTGAAATTAATTTTGAGGGTCAGTTTTCTTCAAGCTTGTCATTGGGGGCTCACAAGCAGCAGCCCATGAGCACGTCCTGCTTGCCAGTTTCTGTGAGTAGTTTTATTGGAACATAGCCATGCTTATTTGTTTCCATATTGTCTGTGGTTACTTTCACATTACAGTTGTAGAGCTAAGTAGTGGTCACAGTCTGCAAAGCATAATATATTCACCCTCTGGCCCTTCACAGGAAGTGTTTGCTTACTGATGTACATCACTCTTGGAAACGCAGAAGTCCTTGTCTGCAAGTTCTTACCCTTTAAAAATGAGGTGTCATTTATGTAGAGAGCAGTTCAGTAACCTTTGACAGTTTTAACACTTAACCAAAATGAGAGAATGCCGTTCTAAAACATCCCTGTTATCTCAGTTCAGACACAGGCTAGGCAACTGTTCTGATTTTCTGATTTCTGTTAACGTGGATTGGTTTTACCTGTTTTTGTACCTTATATGAATAGATTCATAGAGCATAAACTTTATGGTTATGACAGTTTTTTATTTAGCAAAATGATTTTTAGACTTTATCTGTGTTGTTTAATAGTAGGAGTTCTATGTGGCTGTCCATCTTCTTTTTTCTGTATTTTATTGTGTCTTAAAATTTGTTCTCATGTTGGTGGGCACTTGAGTTCTTTCCAGTTTGGAAATATTGCCAATAAAGCTTCTGTGAATGGGTGTGTGTGTGTGTGTTTAGCATACTGTTATATCTCTCTTCTGAGCCCAGGAATGAAAGTGCAACTGAAAGGTGATGGGACATGCATGTTTAACAAAAACTGTTTAATATTGTTTGGATTTTGAATGTTCCCCAAAGGTCTGTATGTTAAAGGCTCACTCTGTGGGGTAGCATTTTGGGGAATTAATAGAGCCTATTAGGAGGTTTAGTCTCCTGAGAAGATTTTAGGTTTCCGTGAGATTGTGGGCTGCTGGCACTTTCCTCTTTCCCATTACTTTCTGACCTTTAGGTGAACTGTTTGTCTGTTATGCACACACTGCCATTTCTACCTGGCCTTCTCACTAGGGACCCAAAACAGTAGTAAATCTGCTTGATCTTAGACCAGAACCTCCAGACTGTGAGCTGTAAGTTAGTTGTCCCAGGTATTTCATTATAGTGATGGAAGCGCCTACTCATGAGCTCTTGAGCCATTTTCTAAAATGTCTGTACTTACACAGCCTGCTTTATATCAGGAGGTCACATCTATGGCCATACTTGCTTGAATGTGCCTGATGGCCCAGTTTCATCTATAGAGCTCAGGTTGTCTCTCATCCTTTGTAACCCTTGGTGCTGCTGGATTTTACTTTTAGGCGGCTCTAAAGGTC